TCATTCAGAAGTGGCTTTAGCTTCTTAGTGCTGCGCTTTAACCCGCTGTGCCACCAGGGAGGGCCTTGGATACATGTTCTTACTAAAGCATAAGGAGATGGCGTCAGGCCATCTACTTCAAACTACAGCTCATCCTTGGCTTACAGTGGGGTTACATCCTGATAAATCCACTGACATTGAAACATTTGACACACCCAACCTACCAAACAGCAGCTCAGCTGAGCCTGCCCTGCACATGCTCAGAACGCATCCATTCATTGCGGTTGCGCAAAACCATCTACCATAAAGCCTGTTTTATAATACATCTCCTGGCTCTCTAACTGGCCTCAGTTTTAATTCTTGGCTACCTAGTCAAGTCTCTATATAGCAGCCAGAGCCATTTTTCTTTAAAAAACTGACTCCGGGGCCCTCCTTGGTGGTGCAACCAGTTAAAGCCACAGCCACTGCAGCACGAGTTCAATCCCCAGCCAGGGAGCTAACCCACATGGCACAGCAGACCTTTCTGGTCTCGCCTGCTGCTCCCCTCAGCAGTGGATTTAAGTCAGTCACCTGTTCTGTTCCCCACTTTGTCTCTGGTGAGTCCTCTCACTCTTGCAATCTCTGGCCTGTACCCCAGTTCTTGCACGCATAAATAAATAAATTTTAACTCTCACTTACACTCAAAAAATGGGAATGGAGTTGCTGGCGGAGACTGGCAGAAGGACTCCTACAAGGCGGGTAACGTCTGGGGACAAAAAGAGGCTGAGTGCCAGGCTAAACGCGGCTATAAAGTGCTTCCCGCAAGTGAAGGGTTCAAACTCCAGGTCAACCCTGAGGACCTTAGCTGAACACGAACAAATAAGCCACCGTGTGGCAGGGCCTCCCTGACGGGCCTTCGCTACCTGGGAGATTCTAGAGAACGCGGCGATGCAGAGCTAAAGGTCCATGCAGGCCAAGCCCAGCATGCTGGCCGCCCATGCTGTCCAGTAGGGCAGCCACATGTGGATCTTTACATTTAAGTTCATAGACATCGGGGGCCCTCTCTGGTGGTGCAACAGGTAAGGATGCAGCACTGCAAGCTACGGATGCAGCCACCTAGTGCGAGTTCCATCCCCAGTCAGGGAGCTGACCCACATGGCGCGGCAGACCTCTCCCGCCCCGCCCGCTGCTCCCCTCAGCAGTGTACTTCATCAGT